GGGGAATGTACCATGAGAGAAGGGGAATGTACCATGAGAGAAGGGGAATGTACCATGAGAGAAGGGGAATGTACCATGAGAGAAGGGGAATGTACCGTGATAGAAGGGGAATGTACCATGATAGAAGGGGAATGTACCATGATAGAAGTGGAATGTACCATGATAGAAGTGGAATGTACCGTAATAGAAGTGGAATGTACCATGATAGAAGGGGAATGTACCGTGATAGAAGGAAAATGTACCATGATAGAAGGGGAATGCAATACAACTATATAAGGGGAATACAATACAACGATAGTAGAGGGAAATAATGATAGTAGGGGAACATCATGATAGCAGGAAAATATAATGATAATAGGAGAATACAACTATAGAAGGGGAACATAATGCTAGTAGAGGAACATAATGATAGTAGGAGAATACAACTATAAAAGGGGAACATAATGATAGTAGGGGAACATAATGATAGTAGAGGAACATAATGATAGTGGAGGAAACATAATGATAGTAGGAGAATACAACTATAGAAGAGGAACATTATGCTAGAAGGGGAACATAATGATAGTAGGGGAAACATTATGATAGTAGGAGAATACAACTATAGAAGGGGAACATAATGATAGTAGGGGAACATAATGATAGTAGAGGAACATAAAGATAGTAGAGGAATACAACGATAGTAGGGGAACATAATGATAGTAGGAGAATATAACTATAGAAGGGAAACATAATGCCAGTAGGGGAACATAATGATATTAGAGGAATACATACAACGATAGTAGGGGAACATAATCATAGTAGAGAAACATAAAGATAGTAGAGGAATACAACGATAGTAGGGGAACATAATGATAGTAGAGGAATACAACGACAGTAGAAGAGTACAACGATAGTAGAGGAATACAACGATAGAAGGGGAACATAATGATAGTAGGAGAATATAACTATAGAAGGGAAACATAATGCTTGTAGGGGAACATAATGATAGTAGAGTAACATGACGATAGTAGAGGAATACAACGATAGTAGGGGAACATAATGATAGTAGGAGAATACAACTATAGAAGGGGAAAATAACGATAGTAGGGGAACATAATGATAGTAGAGAAACATAACGATAGTAGAGGAACATAATGATAGAAGGGGAACATAATGATAGTAGGAGAATACAACTATAGAAGGGGAACATAATGCTAGTAGGGGAACATAATGATAGTAGGAGAATACAACTATAGAAGGGAAACATAATGCTAGTAGGGGAACATAATGATAGTAGAAGAACATAACGATAGTAGAGGAATACAACGATAGTAGGGGAACATAATGATAGTAGAGGAATACAACGATAGTAGGGGAATACAACGATAGTAGAGGAATACAACGATAGTAGAGGAGTACAACGATAGTAGGGGAACATAATGATAGTAGAGGAATACAACGATAGTAGAGGAATACAACGATAGTAGGGGAATACAACGATAGTAGGGGAACATAATGATAGTAGGAGAATACAACTATAGAAGAGGAACATTATGCTAGAAGGGGAACATAATGATAGTTGAGAAACATAATGATAGAAGGGGAACATAAAGATAGTAGGGGAACATAATGATAGTAGGAGAATACAACTATAGAAGGGGAACATAATGATAGTAGGAGAATACAACTATAGAAGAGGAACATTATGCTAGAAGGGGAACATAATGATAGTAGGGGAACATAATGATAGAAGGGGAACATAATGATAGTAGGGGAACATAATGATAGTAGGAGAATACAACTATAGAAGGGGAACATAATGCTAGTAGGGGAACATAATGATAGGAGGAGAATACAACTATAGAAGGGAAACATAATGCTAGTAGGGGAACATAATGATAGTAGAAGAACATAACGATAGTAGAGGAATACAACGATAGTAGGTGAACATAATGATAGTAGAGGAATACAACGATAGTAGGGGAACATAATAATAGTAGAGGAACATAATGATAGTAGAGGAATACAACGATAGTAGAGGAACATAATGATAGTAGGAGAATATAACTATAGAAGGGAAACATAATGCTAGTAGGGGAACAAAATAATAGTAGAGGAACATAATGATAGTAGAGGAACATAATGATAGTAGAGGAACATAATGATAGAAGGGGAATACAACGATAGTAGGGGAATAAAACGATAGAAGAGGAACATACAATGATAGCAGAAGAACAAACAGCGATAGAAAGGAATACATAAAAGTAATAGGGGAACATACAACGATACAAAGGTACTAGCGAAAAAAATACATCTTAATAGTGGAGAACATACAACAATGAAAGATGGTAGATGGTGTTGTATGTTCTAAAAGCATTTGATTGAAGAAGATTTTATTATATATTCATTGTCAGTATATTTTTCATAGCTGCAGAGATAGTGAAACAGTTATCGATGAAGATTCACGAATATTTGTCATCATTTTATTCTGGTAGCCAATCGCCCATCAGCAAACTTTATTCACACATGTCCTAGAAATGTGCTCAATATCCTGCTATTTGCATATTGACACTGTTATTTTTTTGTTTTTAAACAAATCCAATAATGATCGAGTTGGAAGAATAAATGTGGTTGTAGTTTTCCACAATAAACAGTGTAATGCTAACATGATATTAATGTTTTAAAAAGAAGGCAATTTCCATATACGTAGTGATAATTTTACATGAATATGTATTTTTATGTTGTATAGAATGCTGAGGTTTATATAAATTAAAAAAAAATAAAACCCATGAAAAATTAACTGTTCAAGCAATAACGATTTTTAAGTGATATATAGTTTCGTTTTCAGCGAGGTGTTATCTAAATTTCCTGTATCAACGTGAATGTAGTAATTAATAACATTGTGGAGACAATATCCGGACAACAAAATAGAACGCGGAAGTTCTGTACGTTATTAAAACGACACTTGTCCTTATAAGGAAATTAAGCTATTCGAACAACGATAACTTATACTATTGGTGTAAGGGAGGAAAATAATTGTAATAATTGATCAATAATGCGTAACGCTTGGTCCGCTAATTCAAAAATTATTTCAGCGTCATTTATTTGTTAGTAGAATGTACCCATTTTTCATAATTCCAGTACAAAGATTGTCTGTAATATATTTTCAAATAAATCTGTCGAAAATAATTCAAATATTCGTTTTATACTATCAGCTTTATTTTACAATAATGTTACATCTTCAGGGTGAATTGTTCAGTTATTCCTATACGTGGATCTGATCTGTACTATTCATAAAATATCAATATTTTACTGGTGAATTATAAAGTTTTACAGTGACAATTAAATTGATATTTTGGTCAACTGTGACGTCACAATAACCATTTTTTCTTGTGATGACGTTGAAATACAGCATTCAATATCTGAACACGGAAGCCCTTGTCTTTATAAAAACGTAAAAATCAGATTTTGTTTTGTCCCTTATGAATAGCAGTTTGTTTTCCCCTTGGGGATTGAATATGTTTTACTCCTGCAAATCATAACAATATTCACCTCTCTTTCTAATTGTAACTGTTATCAGGAAACAAAGAATCTCCACTACGTGTCTTCATTCACATGTAGGCCTTCAACAGTACAGCCAGTCCTTTTCAGTTCATGGAATGAAGGTAAATGTTTCGATAGATACATTCAAATGACGAGAACCGTGTTTGTAAAATAAAAGGGTACCATATCACTTATGTAGCTTCCAGTTATTGGTTAGGGAGATACAATCCAAATCAATGACTTCTGTTATAGAACACTGATATCGCTCATTCGTGATTAATTGTTAAAAGTCTGTAAGACTTATTGAGTGTGAATTGATTGTACGGTGTATTGTACGACATGGGGGATATTGTTAATTCTACATAAACTGACGTATTAATACCGACAATGGTGAGTGAGCCACACACATGGTGTGTGTTCTGTTGGCGATATTAACCTTACTCCGTTTGTAATTCGCATTTATACATATATCAACTGAGTAACCTATCTACTATAACTAGTCTGGAGGTCGATGTTACTCAGATTTGTGACACAGATTTGTATGATAAATCGATTTGATTTAATAAATACTTCTCGACTAGATTTTAAAGAAAAACATATTCCATCGAAATGCTTAAATTTTAATATGTTAAAAAAAGCAATAGGAAATATTTACATATCCATAGGTTCATTCGAGGAACGGTATGAAATTCAATAATACGAGTGTTACTTTACACTTTTAATACATTCCAAACAAGTGTTACATACGACCTTATAGAATGTGTAGACTTAATATCTTCCCCAAATATTTTAGCTGAGGAAACTTGCTAACTTATTATTCAATTCAAATGAACAGTTAGACATCATCAATGTAACTTTAAATGTATACTCAGCATTAAATTAATGTTATTGTTAATAATGTTGATTTAACACTGGTAAAAATCCATTGTTTCTACTTAAATGTACTAGCCTGTACCACACAGCTGTTTCTGCCTTCTAGGGCTTATCGGTAATGCTATGGACCAAAAAGATGGCAATCCAAATTGGTCTATAAAATGTAGCAGAATTGTTACGTAATGAGGAATAAATATATTCTGTCGTCTAACCTAGAGCTCACACGAGATTTCGTATTGGTTGATGATATAACATACCACGCCACTTGTTAATCCTTATCAGTATCTCCTTATCAGAATCAAGGTCAAGAGTCCACATCGATACCTCAACACAATCTCTTTGTGGCCCTGTACACGGTAAACGGTGAGCTTTTCATGTGTTCATATAACAACTCGTGTTAGATTCATGTCTTTTTATTGGTCTTAGTTTAAACTTTGTTTTATTTACATAACATATGTAATACATAATACAAATATGATTAAACATAAATGATTTGGAGACAGAAACAAGTATTAATACACTCATATAAATCTGTTACCTTTCATCGTAACCAATATTATCAACTATAGCTTAGGGATAGTGACGTGAATACATCACAGGGAAGTTAGACGAGAGTTGGGGAAATGCAGTGTAAAATATGGTACATGTACAAAATACGTGCAAATCAGTACATTGTGATCAAGAAAAGTCCTTCTGTTGCATCATCGTTAATACACTTTATGATTGATTCCCAGACTTTTTCAAGAATGGTATATAAACAAGTTGGTCTTAAATGTACTGCAAGATAAAATTATCAAGACAAAATTGATTGTTCACCTGTGGCGTTTATCATCGTCATATACCTCTATGGAAGTATCTTACCATATGGCATTTCATCAATATCTACAAATATTTTTTTTTGGTAAGGGGTGTAAACTAGTTTCTGACATTGTTTTCTAATAATAAAAAGGCTTGACTGTATGACATATAATCGTATAAACAGGCTTGACTGCATGAAATATAATCGTATAAACAGGCTAGACTGTATGACATATAATCGTATAAACAGGCTTGACTGTATGACATATAATCGTATAAAAAGGCTTGACTGTATGACATATAATAGTGTAAGCAGGCTTGACTGTGTGACATATAATTGTATAAAAAGGCTTGACTGTATGACATATAATCGTATAAACAGGCTAGACTGTATGACATATAATCGTATAGACAGGCTTGACTGTATGACATATACTCGTATAGACAGGCTTGACTTTATGACAGATAATCGTATAAAAAGGCTTGACTGTATGACATATAATCGCATGAAAAAGCTTGACTGTATGCTATATCATCGTATAAAAAGGCTTGACTGTATGACATATAATCGTATAAACAGGCTTGACTTTATGACATATAATCGTATAAAAAGGCTTGACTGTACGACATATAATCGCATGAAAAAGGTTGACTGTATGACATATAATCGTATAAACAGGCTAGACTGTATGACATATGATCGTATAAACAAGCTTGACTGTATGACATATAATCGTATAAAAAAGCTTGACTGTATGACATATAATCGTATAAAAAAAGCTTGACTGTATGACATATAATCGTATAAACAGGCTAGACTGTATAACATATAATCGTATAAACAGGGTAGATTGTACGACATATAATCGTATAGACCTGCTTGACTGTTTGACATATCATCAGATAAAAAGGCTTGACTGTATGACATATAATCGTATAAACAGGCTAGATTGTATGACATATAATAGTAAAGGAGGCTAGACTGTTTGACATATAATCGTATAAACAGGCTAGATTGTATGACATATAATCGTATAAACAGGCTAGACTGTATGACATATAATCGTATAAAAAAGCTTGACTGTATGACATATAATCGTATAAAAAAAGCTTGACTGTTTGACATATAATCGTATGAAAAAGCTTGACTGTATGACATATAATCGTATAAACAGGCTAGACTGTATGACATATAATAGTAAAGGAGGCTAGACTGTTTGACATATAATCGTATAAACAGGCTAGACTGTATGACATATAATCGTATAAACAGGCTAGACTGTATAACATATAATCGTATAAACATGGTAGATTGTACGACATATTATCGTATAGACCTGCTTGACTGTTTGACATATCATCGTATAAAAAGGCTTGACTGTATGACATATAATCGTATAAACAGGCTAGACTGTATGACATATAATCGTATAAACAGGCTAGACTGTATGACATATAATCGTATAAACAGGCTAGACTGTATGACATATAATCGTATAAAAAAGCTTGACTGTATGACATATAATCGTATAAAAAAGCTTGACTGTATGACATATAATCGTATGAAAAAGCTTGACTGTTTGACATATAATCGTATAAACAGGCTAGACTGTATGACATATAATAGTAAAGGAGGCTAGACTGTATGACATATAATCGTATAAACAGGCTAGACTGTATGACATATCATCGTATAAAAAGGCTTGACTGTATTACATTTTATCGTATAAAAGGACTTGACTGTATGACATATAATCGTATAAAAGGCTTGACTGTATGACATATACTCATATAATAAGGCTTGACTGTTTGACATATAATCGTATAAAAAGACTCGACTGTATGACATATAATCGTACAATAGGCTTGACTGTATGACATATAATCGTATTTAATCATTTGAAGGTTGAAATGGCACACACATCTCAAATTGTCGTGTTGGTGTGTCTGTTTGGTGTGACTTTGGCAAACTACTATCTCAAACCACTGTCCTACACCAAACTTCCGGCCACACACACGACTAGCGAAACCTTCAAACTATTTGGAGGGACTGCCGAGGAGGGGGCATATGACCCAATAAAGAAAATGTTGTACGTTGTGGGTAAGTATAGTTCGAATAGCATATTCAGTAACGAGTCTGACATGTTCTTAATGTTATAATCAAATGGTATGTTGGAGGATTCTTGAGATTCCGAACATTAGATCTATTATGTGAAGAGATTTCCACCTGTATATATCCATGTAATGCAAAAAAGGAAACAATTGTGCACTCTAAACATTTCGACATTTCTATTGTCAGTACTTGTTTAAATCTACAAATATAACGTTCATTTTGTCGCCTGTATTGTAATATGTTCATATGGAACCACAAACATGTTGTTCTTGATATGTATTGATATCTACATTTGTCTTTATTCATGTCTAGCGGTCAAACTCATGAAAGGATGTCCTTCTTAGAGAATCGGCTTGTGGTCTAAAACAATCATGATATGTGAAATAAATTCAGATCGCCACAATCATAATGATCATGTTAACTTCTCGTTTTTGATAACGTCTACTTTTTTGCAGTCAGTTCCAAGTTGAACTTTTGATGAATACTGACAAATGAATTAATCTATTTAAAGGAGAAACATCAAGATTACTGCACATCCTCGACGTATCCGACCCTGTCAATCCCGTCCGGGTTTTAACGCACCAGTTTAGTACAGCAGAAGGCAGGCCGCGCGACATTGCTCTATGCGGCGATGAGATCGCTGTCGCACTCACTTCCGGTATCAGAGACGTATACGAGGGTCACGTGTATTTTTTTAAAACGTTCTCCAAAGGTGACACCGCCCTACAGCCCGACGGAAGTCGTCTCCCAGGTAAAATAAGTAAAGAATATCCGTCTTACCGCCCGACGGAAGTCGTCTCCCAGGTAAAACAAGTAAAAAATATCCGTCTTACAGCCCGACGGATGTCGTCTCCCAGGTAAAATTAGTAAAACATATCCGTCTCTGTTATTACAATGTTCACACAATACATTCACTATGTGAAATGCATTTTCTAAGTGACGCGTGTTTCTGTTCAGTATATTATTAGTGTATTTAAATTATACATACCGTTAATTATAATAGGTATATCTATATTTGTAACGTTCGATATTGTTGTTGAATATGAAAAGCACACCTGGCAGGATAAATATCGAGACAATCCCTTTCAATTTCCTTGAAGATTGCTGGAACAAGAGTGGTACGTAGCACAACATTTAGTCTAAATATAATTTGAATTATCCGACATATTTAATAGGATACATACAATTCGAGAGGAATTCTAAATGCATGACAAACATATGTTAAGTGCACCCTAGCTACATCTTGGTATATGAACTATGTTTCAATTTACTGTGATACCGACATCGTTTTACATGAGTATACATTGCTTGAAGACAATTGCAAAACTAATTGATGCAAAATGATAAATTGATCTCAACAATCATTATGAATCGGAACATTTAACCTTACAATTAAAAATATAACTCCCTTATGACGATGTCGTGAAGAAGATGAACAAGTCATTTGAGATATTCAAAATCCCTTTTGGAAATATAATTATATAGAAATTCAGCATGCGAATAGTGATATAATACCATGATGTCCCAACAGTACCGCCAGCAAACGCCACGAAAGTGTTACGCAATCGCTATGTAAGAGCTACGCCAATGCTACAATGACTACTTCATTCGAAAAGTATATGGAGACATTCCTATTTACACATTTCCATTAATACCCGAATGAGTTTGAATTTATTATCACATCCTAATCTAGTGTTAGAGAGAAAAAGCCTTCATGTGAAACAGTCTTGTCTCGTTAATATGGTCCTGAGTCAAATTCTAAAGCACTGTTTAATTTATTTCTTACAAAAATACGCAAAAATGACTACCTGAAATTTGTCAAAGGCAATGGTGTTCCATAAATTATGTTCAGTTCGATGACCTCTGCTATTTTGAACTTTTATAGATTATTTATCCTTTTCTGTTATACAAATACTGGGATACAGGCTGATGATTCCAGTCGTTATACTGATAGCAAATGTATGAAACGTGCATCAGAAATATTTAGAAAATGTATGAATTTAAATGGTGAATTAAAACAAATGCTTGTAAGTGTTCAACATACAAAATGTATGGTTGTTTCATCAAAACAATTGCTGTTTACATTTAATGTTCAAATTATCATTTAGCTGGATAATACAGAAGTAATACAGTGGGGAAAAATCTTTTAGATGTGTATCAAGTTGATATCTGATCTTGGAAAAGCCATAAAGGGAAAATACTGTCCGAAATGGGACAATAGTAAGGGTTTAAAAGTGTATTTGGTTTAAACTTTGTTTTATTCAAATTTTGTTTGACAATACATTGAAGTACATGTTTTATAGAACAGAAAAGGCAACAAAAACAAGTGTCGTGACACTTATGTAAAAATTTTACCTGCTTAATAATCCACTTTTCAACACTAGCTTCACTAATGAAGTAATATGTACAATAGAATAATTACGGGAATAGGGGAGGGGGTAGTGGATTGGTATGCATTGGAAACCCGGAATGAATAACATATCAATATACATATGATCATCAGATGGAAATATCATATTGCTCTATTGCAATGAGTATGTGGAACACGATTCTGTAAAATAAAACTATGCAATAGTAGATGAAAATTTCAGCAATGCTGTAAATGGACACTCGATAAAGGTTAAAATGTATATACAAGTTACATAGAATAAATCACCAATAAATCAACTATTGACAAAATAAGTATGTCACAAAGCACCGCCATGATTATTGAAAACGTTGCAATTCACATACTAGCCATCACACTTATCAAATATGTCCATAAAACACTTTGCCGCCTCGTCCCTGGCATGTCCTGCTCTTTCAAGGTAACACATCAATTTATCAAACTATCATAATCATGGCCAGTTGGTGACATAATATGGTATAAAGAAATGCAATGGGAAAATCACTGATAAGCATATAAATCCAAATACATTTTAAAACATAGTAGTAAAACGAATGCAACACAACATACATATATATATATATGTCAAAATGAAATTGTTAAAAGACTATTCGTTTATTGGAAATATTTTATCTTATCTAACGTATGGAACACAAAAAGTCTCTTTTTCTGGAATTTTGTCAGAAGCAAAGAAAATTACCCATGGTGTACCACAAGGCTCAATTTTAGGTCCATTATTATTTTTAACTTTTATAAATGACTTATCTTTTTACAAGTACAGAAATGTATGCTGATGATTCTAGCTTTCATTATGCCAGCAAAAATCTTGAAAGTATACAAAATGCTCTGCAGTCAAATTTAGAACATGTGAATGAATGGTGCTGTGAAAATAAAATGATTGTAAATATCCAAAAAAATTTTTTATGGTTGTTACATCAAAACAAAAACTGTCTAGAACTGATGTACAACTTAATCTTAAGCTTGGTGACACTGAAGTAGAACAAGTGAACAGTGAAAAACTGTTAGGGGTGTATCTCGACGATAGTCTATTTTGGAAAAATCACATTGAAAAAACTGAGGAAAATCAGACAACCTGTTCAGGGTAGGATAACATTTTACAATTCCTGTGTGTTTATCTACTGCTGCAATGTATGGGCAGGTTGCTGATGGATAAATTGTATAAAGCACAAAAACAGGCAGCACGTATCATACTTGATGTACCATATGATACACCTTCTGATAACACATTTTCTGTTCTGATGGCTGCCTATTGAAAAATATTTTACATTTCAGAAAGTACTGTTGTTTTATAAATGTATGCATGGTATGGTGCCAAGTTATTTGTGTGAAAATATCACACCTGTGAGTGATGCGCACAGAAGAGTCACCAGATTTTCCAATACAAACAATGTTGTTGTTCCTAAACACAGGACTACGTTTTCATTCAAAACAATTTCCGGTGCACAAGAATGGAACAATCTTCCAAATTATTTAAAAGAAATTACTAATTTTAATTCTTTTAGAAAACAACTTATCAAGAACTTCTGGAATTCTTAATTCATTCTTTTAAAAGAAACCCATTGACTTTTAATGTATGCTTTATTAGCGTATATCCTGTTTTTTTTTTTTTTTACATTTTTACTATATTAGCATATAAGTACATAAGGCATTGTGCCATTTTAATTGACGAACCGGCAAATTTGCACAATAAATTTGTGCATTCTGTCATAATTTTTAAACTTGAATTAAGCAATATTGTATCTTAGATGATAAACTTTAACCTAATTTCAACTCTTGTACATTCTGTGATATCCTTATAGCTGATACTAAACATTTAATTCTATTATGATATTTTGTTGCACTATTTATGTACTTGTGATATTTATAATTATGATGTTTTACTAACAATGAGGACCATGTGGTAGATTAGCCTTTGGCTAAACATGTCATCCTCGTTAAATATAGTTTATTGTTAGTTTAGTTTTGAGTATATAATTTTGAACGGCTAGAAAAATTGTAGTGTTTTCTTGATGGGTTAGAGAGTCATCATGGTGATGGTGGTGAAAAGTGTATTTGCCATTATCTGTTAATACAGGGAGGGATTGAGCTTTACAACTCATATGCGTTTCCTTATTTTATAAACTCATGGACTTTAAGGCTGAATACTTTTGCAAATTTGATGGAAATCGTTTAAAGCTTAAAAACAGACAGTACGTGTCACACTCGATTTCCCATGTGTTACACCTTCTTGTCTTTTGTTTTCTAATTTAAAATTGCTATTGGGTAAGAATTTTGCTTAAATTCAAGAAAAAGAAACTATGAGTGTTTCAAATTGCATTTATGGTATGTCACCAAATTACATATGTGGTAGTGGTACACTTGGAGCACAAAAGAGCTATTAGATATTCCATTGCAAACACTCTTATTACACATATTAATTCTTGTCATTGTATATTAATTTACCATTACTATGTTTTAATTATTATGGTGACCAAGGAATTAAATTAGTTTTACACAAGAGTAATGTTTATATTTATATTTGAAATTGTATATTTACTAACCATTAAAAATTATACTATTAATGAGGACGATGGTTGTGGATTAGCATTTGGCTAATCATGTATTACCCTCATTAAATTATTTATATTTTTATTATTGCTGATAACTTTTTGACAGGTATCTATGTAACTTTTTTGAGCGAAGAAAAGTAGAAAGTATTTACTTGCATACTAGACCGAGATTTCCGCATTTCCGGCGGTGCTGGAAATTTTATCTGACCCACGGGTCTAGATCGCTTACACGCACAGACTGGCGGAAGAATAATAGTGACGTTTCTGGGTCATGCTATTGTTCGTGACGTCATTTTATGACGTTTTGGGGTCAGTCAGGGTTATCGACGTCACTAACAATTGACATCCGGGCTTCATATGCAAATGAGAAATGTGCAGACATTTTACAACTTTACTAGAAGAGCAGCTGTTTTTACGAGTTTTAGGTAATAAGCAAGAAATAAAATCCATCCTTGATGTGAAGTAAGGATTAATAGAATCTATCGCTACTGGTTGTGTAAGATAGAGAAATCTCAACCCGAGGACTAAGATTTTTTGTCCAGAACGAGGCTTGCCGTCTATCTTACACAACCAGTAGCGATTGATTATTTTTCTCCCATATCTAACAGTATTTTAATTTGAAATAAAGGTAAACCTGGACCCAAAACACATACAGGCAATTTGTTGATGGATTGTTGACGTGACGTCATTGTATTGTTAAAGTGACGTCATGCCATTGTTATGAATAGGGAAATCCCCCCGTCTCAACCCTAGGGCGGAGACAGATAAATCTAGCACCGGCAAAACGGGAGATAAATCTGTCAGGTGTGGGAGAAAAGGTTATTCAAACCCTCGGGATAAAAAATTGAGCAAAAATCCCTCGGCAAAGCCTCGGGTCTCCTGCTCAATATTTTATCTCTTGGGTTTGAATTACCTTATCCATGCCTTACATCAGGGATGGATTATATTAATCTTTTTGTATAAAACATATCAAGTATGAACTAAGATATTTTGTTTGGTATCATATCGTAACAATTACTGAGTATTTCAACCAAGTCTTTCTATAATAAATGTATTCTAAACATTTCTTCACACAGTGGGGTCCTACCCTGACATGCTGACGTATACCTCGGATTGTTTGGAGCTGTTGGTCGCCAATGAGGGAAAACCAGGACGAGATATCAACAATAAGTTTGTAGACCCCCCAGGTACTGTCCAAATCATCCGCAGAGAAAGGACTGGCAGTCCATCGGAGAAAATAGCAGACTTCCTACAGTTCAATAACCGGTAAAATACTACAGTACTACTCACTAGTATAAATAGTTTGCATTATATCTATAGCTTCGGCTTAAGGTAAAAATGTATAAAATGTGCATTAAATTCCAAACTACCAACAGTAAAAGTCCGACAAAGTTTGAGTTCCGAAGAAGCACGAATCTCCATCTTTCGTTCATACATTCATTTAAACCTACTTTATTAGTCCTTACAGCTTATTAAGCTTTAATTATTTCACCCTTCTTTATTAAAAATTGTACAGCGCTATTCCCCACGATTAACTGACATTATGTCTAAAACTGATGGAGACATAAATATCGGGTTGTCGATGGATATGATATTTATCTGAACTATAAATACTTGTCGCTAATGAGAAAAGTAGTAACTTAATAAATACATAAAAAGGTATAGAACTCATCCTTGAACTTAAATCCTTGGCAAGCGACTTAGCAAGCCACATCAGAGTAGGCGCCATATGTGGTGCAGAAACGATGTTGGTCCACATCTCACTTTTGCATGTAACTGGTTCACCACTACATGCTTCTTTTACGATGGGGAGGTGTTAGAAGTAAAATCGATCAACCCTGTGTGATGTAATCAAAGAAATCACAACCTTCCTATATTTTTTGAAGTTTAGTACTCATCAAAACCTTCTGCTAAAAGCTTCAAAATCAAACATTGATGTTCTGTACTACAAATGGTACCAATCCCGATGTGTCAGGTCAATTCTAAGAAAGTGTGTCAAGGTCATAGCCTAGATTAACCAGCATGCAAATATCACAGAACTTGACCTCGTCCCCTTCTTCCATATAAGGTAGTCAGTGATGAAGCAATAACTAATGCGCGCTTTGCATACAGGATGTTTCCAACTTATGAAAACCGATGGAACACTACTCAAATCAAACATCTGCATTACGTTCGAGTTTCCTACATTCTCAGAAAGAACATTAAAATTTCATATTTGACTAAGAAATGACAATCGGCATCGATGGTTATTATATATGTTTAAGTGGATGTCTATTCCCTCAGGTATGACATCCGTATTCCGGGGCGTTACATACCCGCAGGCACGTGGCCCCTTCCTGACCAAATCACAGTCGCACAAGGGCTAGAGCCCGAGTATATTGCGATCACACCTGACACCAGATACGCCTTCATCACATTACAGGTATGTTGAAATCACAATATTTATTTTTCATCATCGTACATTAAACTGTACAGTGATTTACTACTTGTTTATGCCTCTTGTCATAAAGCGGTGGGGCTTGTGTGTCCTGTCTGTGCTCGTACATCAAAAATTCCGTTTACATGAGTTGTGAGTCCAACAAACCTGTGCCACAGGTACCCCAAATGGACACCAATACAAAATAATTTATAGTAATGTATCCCAAATAGATATTATTACAAAGTAATATTCCAAAGGCAACCATGTAAATGTTAATACAAATCTCTTTACTCGAAGTATTCCAAAAAAATATGTATACCAAGCTTTATACCAAAGGTAATCTAAATAGATATTAATACCAACATATTTACCGTAGGTACTGAAATTAACAAAACATGAATTATACCAATGAATTAATGTCATATTATCGCAAGTTAAATGATCGCATTGTTATAGCATCCCGTAATACATATAGATTAGAATACATTAAAACAAATCATGGCAACTTGGTTACATATATATATATGTAACCAAGTTCATCTGACATGTTTTTGCTTACATTTTATTCAATTTGTATTCAATATCTATAAAACATATTTTAGTCTTGTATTATTTTCGTATTGTTATATCACGCTAGCCATTGTTGGTACAAACATCTGAGAATGTGTCTACTTCTTTTTGTTCAGGAGAATAATGCCATCGCTAAGTTATCCGTTGCTGATGGGGTGATAACGGATATATGGCCTTTAGCCCCGAAAGAATGGAGGGACATTGGGATAGACTCCACAGACAGAGACGGGGGTAAGTGTGTACAGCACTATCTATCTATTCCATAGGAACTGCTTCTGCATTTCTAGATAGTGTACCCGGACTACACCTCATATCACTCAATCATCTGATCATCAAGGAAAGGTTCAATCTTCACACATCATATCTACTGTTCACATATATTTCTATATATCAAATGTCACTTCTATTTCTATATATCAAATGTCACTTCTATTTCCTAGAATCCTTTGGTTGGATGATAATTATATGGAGGACTGTGATTTGTTATAATGACTTTGTGTTGTTATTTTTAGAAACAGCAGATTAACATTCTCTTTATGACGTCATGTCAATTGTAACGTCACAATGCTCTCTGCCAAATTTTCTTTGGTTTCTAAAGTCACTTAAATCTATATCACACAACCATGCAATTATGTGAGGGTGTTTTCCCTGCATAACACGGTGACATTTGATGTAATGTCGTGTACTAAAGCAGTCGTCTGACATTTTATCTTCAAATTGTTGAAGTTGGTCAGTACCATTTAGAAGTAGAAGATTTACAATGTTCAAATTCCGTGTGCTATAGTTTATCATGGCTCTCTATGTTCTGTAGGTATCCATTTGCGGCAATATCCCTGGGTAAGTCTGCAGCAGCCGGATATGGCCAAGGTTTTCACTTTAGGAAGAAAGACCTTCCTGTTTACCGCCAACGAGGGCGCCCCGACGACGTATACAAGCAGTGTACACGGTTTCAACTGGGCTGACAACGCCAGGTCGGACGCACTTGTGAGAGGTACATAAGATGCCCATATTGGTTATGCAATTTGTTGATTTAGATGCAAAGTCTAGTATTTCAATCCGGAAATACTTTAAAAAAAATTCTTATAACTTGTCTTCTGAGGGATCTGCTGCACCCTACACGTTAACAATGTCTTGCATTAGTTTACAGATGTTTAAATACTTGCGGTGAAAGACCACATAAATGAAAGACTACCTCTTGTGATCACTCACGATCTTATGATCACGTTTTTATTACAAGGAAACAGAAACTTGAGTAAAATATAGACGAGGCTACCAAAGCGTCCGATACACCAGAGCACCACTACTCATCAACACTACAGTCTCAACACGCAGCAACACATTTCACAACGTCAACCCTCAAAGACAAAATATGCATCAGCATTAAAGATGAAAGTAACGCACACACAGATGATTACAATCTGTTAATAGATACCGATTGTCAAGAATGACATCACACAACTGCCTAGTCCTTCTAGGACCTCAACGGTGTTGTCAGGCTCTTAATAAACCACATCGACAAAACATACCACATCATCACTACACAATGCTCAACGACAAATCATACCACATCATCACTACACAATGCTCAATGACAAATATACCACATCACCACTACACAATGCTCAATGACAAATATACCACATCATCACTACACAATGCTCAATGACAAATATACCACATCATCACCACACAATGCTCAACGACAAATATACCACATCATCACTACACAATGCTCAACGACAAATATACCACATCTGTAATATCCAGTCCGCTACTTTGTACCATTCCGTAATATTACCCACTTGATTGCTATTCTGTAATATGGACCAACCGGAAGTATTATTAAAACCATGCACATGGAACAAGATGGTGTTTGTTGAGTCTGAATGTTAAGCCGTAGTTAATGATGGCATTAGGCATGCCATCAACACATAAACACTACATTTTGGCGACGAGGATGGGATCAGAATGACATCCCTACCAATATTTCCTTCGTTCGATACCGAAAGCGACAAAAGTAACGCTGGCCCAAGATGGGATCGGTGGATAGGGCGTTTAGAGAATCTGCTCGTGGCCCTGGACATTACGGACGAGGATGAAAATGATAGAAAAAGAGCACTCCTGCTTCACTATGCAGGTGAACGTGTGTATGACATATATGAGGCCGAAAAAGGAGAAACCGAGCCGTCATATGGAGCCACCAAACAGGTGCTCACGACATACTTCAAACCCAAGAAAAATCAACAAATGGAATTATACACCTTCAGAAGCTATAAACAGTCAGAATCGCAAACTCTTGACGAGTATGTCACCGAATTACGACGACTAGCGAAGGATTGTGGATTTGCAGACACGAATAAGGAGATTCTGTCACAGGTCATCCAGCACTGTAAGTCCAACAGACTCCGGAGAAGGGCACTCCGCGAGCCTGACAAAGACTTAAATGGAATTCTAACACTCGGTAGAACACTAGAGTTATCCGATGTCCAAGCTACAGCAATGGAACGGGACCAAAGTGCGAGTGTTAACGCGGTTGGTCGTGCACAGTCCGAACACAAACCGTTTAAAAGAAAACAACACAGATCGTCCAACTTCAAGCGTGGTACACCCAAACAAGGTGAGTCCGATAAAAAGTGTATGAAATGTGGAGGATCATACCCTCACCATGGAGACTGTCCCGCTAAAGGCCAGACTTGTCATTCATGTGGTAAAAGTAACCACTATATGAAAATGTGTCGATCCCGTGTCAACAAGCCTACTCACAAGGGCCAGAATCGAAATGTGAAAGCTGTTCAACTGGACACTGGCCATGGTCAATCGGTTAGTTATGATGCCCGATACCAANCGTCGATCCCGTGTCAACAAGCCTACTCACAAGAGCCAGAATCGAAATGTGAAAGCTGTTCAACTGGACACTGGCCATGGTCAATCGGTTAGTTATGATGCCCGATACCAAGATGGCGAGACGGACGACGATGACCGTTACTGTTATGGAATAAAGGAGACTTTGACAAATTCCGAACAGGTGAGATTTGTAAACGAGGCTCCCAACTTCACTCTAAAAGTGAACAACAGACCACTGAGAGTATTGTTAGACAGCGGTTCCTCAGTCAATATACTTGACGAAACAGCATACGAGTGTATGGGTAGGCCGCCTATCACCCGTGCTAGTAACAGGCTGATACCGTACGGTGGTGGTAAACCGTTATCAGTCCTGGGAAAGTGTGATCTTGGTGTAGAAACGAACAAACAGTTTGACACTTTGACATTCTATGTTGTGAAGGGACATAGGTACGGATCCATCCTAGGGTATCCATCAGCCCGTAATCTGTCACTGATCCATGTTGTGAGTGAAATCGCAGAGGATGTTGATAAACAAGTGGAGACAGAGTTCCCTGGAATCTTCAAAGGTATTGGGAAATTGAGAGGGACACTGGTGAAATTACACATTGACCCCAAAATACAGCCGGTCGCTCAACGACATCGTCGTACACCATTTCATCTCCGGGACAAAGTCAAGAAGGAGATTGACAAGTTAGTTGAGGGTGACATCATAGAAAAGGTGGAGGGTACACCAACACCCTGGATTTCCCCGATAGTCACACCGCCAAAAAAGGACCCGGACGAAATTCGGCTATGTGTGGATATGCGAGAAGCTAACAAGGCTATTCAGCGTGAACGCCATGTCTTACCTACCATGGATGAGCTTATACATGATCTAAACGGCGCCACTGTATTCAGTAAGCTCGATTTACGTAGTGGGTATCACCAGCTGGAACTCGACCCAAAATCAAGGTACATAACTACTTTCAGCACACACGTCGGAATATACCAGTACAAACGTTTAAACTTCGGTATATCTTCCGCGTCTGAGGTATTCCAAGAGACTATCAGACAAGTTATACAAGGCATCGACGGTGCAAAGAACATTTCTGATGACATTTTGATATTCGGTCGATCGAGAGTGGAACACGATGCAGTTCTTAGACAGGTGCTTCAGAAAATAAGTGACTCTGGTTTGACTCTAAATGGGAGAAAGTGCGAATTCAGGAAAGACAGCATTACATTCTTCGGTGTTGTATTCAGCGGAGCTGGTATTTCACCTGACCCTAGCAAAGTAACAGCTGTGAAGGAATTCAGCCAGCCCCAGAATGCTAAAGAAGTGAGAAGTTTTCTAGGCATGACTTCCTATTCATCACGATTCATTCCGGACTATGCAACAATTTGTGAGCCAATACGTAATCTCACTCACCAAGATGTAGAGTGGAATTGGTCAAAAGATTGTGAACGTGCATTCAACACACTGAAAGATAGACTATCGAGTGAAACTGTTGTAGCCTACTACAATCCCGAAATTGAGGTAGAAGTGATGGTTGACGCTAGTCCGATCGGTTTAGGTGCGATAATGGTACAGCGACATCGAGTTGTGTCATACGCGAGTCGAGCCCTGACATCTGTAGAATCGCGATACAGCCAGACAGAACGTGAAGCGTTAGCTGTTGTCTGGGCATGCGAACACTTTGATATGTACTTGAGAGGTTTGTCACACTTCACAGTCATCACGGATCATAAACCCCTAGAACGTATATGGGAGAAAACCAAACCACTGTTGCGGATAGAACGATGGGGACTTCGGTTACAGCCGTACAAATACACGATCAAATATATGCCAGGAGACAAGAACATTGCAGACTACATGTCATCAACACATAAACACTACAACATCATCACTACACAATGCTCAACGACAAATATACCACATCATCACTACACAATGCTCAATGACAAATATACCACATCACCACTACACAATGCTCAACATCACAACACAATGCTCAATGACAAATATACGATCAACGACAAATAAACCACATCATCACTACACAATGCTCAATGACAAATATACCACATCATCACAACACAATGCTCAATGACAAATATACGACATCATCACTACACAATGATCAACGACAAATATACCACATCATCACTACACAATGCTCAACGACAAATATACCACATCACCACATAATGACACAATAGTTTACATCAGCCGCACACATTGGCAAATATATACCATAGAATCAACGCACAATATTAAAACAACGTTAACATGCAAAACAACTGAGAACAAATTAAAAACCAAAAGGAAGCGGTTAACCTCCTAGCCCCATAACAAACCAGGAGTTCAAAGGGAAAATATGAACGTTCCCTGAACCAAATGTGGCGCCGTCATAGTTCTCCTGTCAAATCAGCAAAAATGTCCTTATCGTCAGCGATGTTATGCACATGTTGTTTTCATGCCAGACACCATTACTCAACTAATGATGTTGACTATATATTCTCTTCAGTATAGAATGAAGACTTACTGGTAGGACACCCTGGCTAAGTAGCTTATTGGTTGACAGTACATCCATCGTATACATACTTGGTTCTGTAGAAAGCGTGAACTGTAACACGTAAAATTCGTAAACAGGGCGCGCTAATATGTTGCTACTGAGGATAGGAAAGTTAGTGATCATTAAATGACCATCTTCACATTTATCATAGAATTTAGAATACATTTCATATTTCATTCATTTTTTTGTTCCATAAGCAGGGAATCATCTAGTATCAATCAAAATCATTCAATTGATTTGTGTCTTGAGGACTGTGTAAGATAACATGCTGACAGAATGTTAGGGCAAGCCAACCTAACATTGATTTAAAAATGAATCTCCAACCTGCATTTCATAGAATATGAAATATCTAATATATTTTACAAGATATCCTATAAAAGTTAACCATTTAAATTTTGTTAATTACGCCATGAATAAGTGTTCAGATGCCTCAACCTAGGATGTATACTAAGATGCATTTATCCCTGCGATTACTGTAAGCTGTTGACATTTTGTTTCTTCAGCAAAGAAATTCGACGAAGGCAGGATCAACAACGCAACGTTTTATAAAGATTTGGCTTTAGAAAGCATGGCAGGTAAGTAATTGTGAAAAAGTTGAATAACCACCTCGACAATTCGTTATTTACAGTATCCTTGCTATGATCAACGTAATTAACATTACTTGTTTGATGTTGGCAGGCTACCTAACCGTCAGCAATATCGACTATTTTAACCAGTTTACCGATAAGCTGGAAAAGGTGACGCACTTCGGTGGGCGTGGCTTCTCTATCTGGGACACGACGGATATGAGCCTCGTTTGGGACAGTGGAGATGAGATTGAGAAAAATATGGAGCTGCTTATGTACAACGTATTTAACTCCGACATCGTGTCCTCGACCATCACGTATACGTCACCGGAGAATCTCCGAGACACTACGTCTGATCTCATGGTAAGCAGAAGTAACAACTAGTGGCGCATTGTTTCTGTTTTCATCATTTTTTTTCTAAAATTCCACACATAGTCTTGGGGCTCTTATTCATTATAGTCAAATAGTAATTTTGAATTACTATCATAACGTAATGCTACCGAGGAAGCCTTTCTATTACATTATCTCCGTTTTTATTATTATAGTTGTTGAACCTAAACTATTAGATACTTGGATGTCTTTGGTGCAGAAAAGATTTCAAAAGTTTTTATAGAGAAGCTTTTCGAAATGCCTCTAAACACATTCATCGTCCATGCAATATTTTTAGGTTTTGGACTTAAGCGAAATGTCCAGTTGATTTTTCAACAATTTTCAAGAGAATTTCGGTAAATATTTCAATAGGAGCATCAATTTTTTCAAATTATAATTCCAATTTGATTTGCAAAAATATCGAAAGACTCCAACTGGATTAATGTAATTTCCAGCGTGCAGCGATGTCATTAATTGGAGAAGCAATATAAGGAAAGGATCACTTTCACAAAGACAATCATTATGGGCCATCATTATTAGGACCACACATGTTTGTGAGGTCCTGGTGCGGGGTGGACAAACACAGTGCGTGTTTAGTAATAGGATTAACCTTACAGTTCAGTTAATAATTCTTAATTCAACTCCTTTATAACTCAAGATTTGAAGGCAGAAAATGACAAGTTCGTAAATTCAATAAATTATCTTTGGAGCCTCTTATATTTCATTGTATGATTGTGTTTTCATTATTCTAATATTAATATTTCCGTTATACAGCCCATATAAAACCTACCAACACAAATGTTGTTCTATACCCATAACAGCTACAACTTTAGCACACTAACATTTTCCTATTGAAAACTGTTTCGTCAAAATATTCGTCATAGTTTTATAAAAAAAAAATGGAATGTACAAGGACACGGCAACTATTGCATGGAAGTGACGAACAATGGAACAGATAAGTGACGTGAACAGTGAACAGTATTGTGACTTGTGCCGTCTGTTTCAAAAACAATCTTCACGATCACGTTATTTCATGCATGTTTCATCAATATAGATATTACAAATAAAGAAACATGTCTTCACGTTTTTTTTACGCCGTTCTCTTCATTCTGCCTCTCGTTCCTACATGCTCAAAACTCCAGCTCAATTATTAATAACAACTTGTCCATCATGTTAATGTATGCTATAATATATTGTTCGGAAAAGGCTTCATATAACTAAAAATTTGTGCTCAAATTTACTTTCTATATATATATATTTCTCAAAAAAAAAAAAAAAAATGAAAATTGTTCAAGATGTGTGTCATTTCGGCAAAACAATGCTTAATGCCAAATTAATATTTCTTTTCTATACAAGCATCGATATTTGATTTGTGTGTGTGTAAAAATCCCAAAAATAGTGTCTATGAAAAGAGTAGCATCACTTGACTTATGAAATTAAGGAGTTTACGGCTGGTATTTGACAGGGCCCAAAACTGAACGGGATGGACCTGCTGATACAAAAGAATGGTTCCGACTTCCTGTTGGTCGGGAGCGAGACCGTCGGCGCCCTCTTTCTTTACACCATCAACTCTACCAGTGGTACACCTATCCCTAGGTTCGAGAGCGCCCATCGCGCGGGCAGAACTGATTTTGTCTGGAAGGAATTGTATGACATGGACGAGGCTGGTGACGCCCATATTTCTGCAATAGGGTAAGATTGATTATAATCTTATTTTAATCCCATTCAAGATATTTCCTTTTTGATAACATGATCTTTTCTTTTTTTGGTAATATGATCTTTTCTTTTTTTGATAATTACCATAATTTGGTTAATACAGAAAGTTTAAAAAATGATTGACTGATTCAAAATCCTTGAGTTTCTGACTGTTATTTTTTTTTCCTTATTTCTAAGAAATTAATGTAATCGGGATACAACACACATCCTGCTAGTTCAAAATAATTGTGATCTTAATGTCATGACAAAATATTTAAACTTTCCTGCCATATTATCCAGATTAATTTCCGCTGCCGACAGCCCAAACAACAACGCGATGGCGTACGTAATCAGTGACGCATCGGGCAGTGTGTCGCTGTACAGCATTGAAAAACATTCCAACCCCGACTTCATCTTCGGATAGCGACCGGAAGTGCCAGAAAGTGTGGTTAATTAACAACGTTATTTCGGCTTTGAGCTCTATTTATTCAATTCAGATTTATAGTCCCGGTCATGTGTTCAGTGTCACTCCACTTTCCTTGCTATCCTTGCTTTCCGCTGTAACAGGAAAAAACCGTTGTTAATAAAATAGAAATGAAAAAAAAAAAAACGTTTGTTGGAAATGCATATTGATGATTAATTTCTGTACTTGATCGTTGTGATAATAACATGACCTGTTCGTTTGTAAATTGATTAAAACAAATATCATACCCTTACAAAGAGGACAGTTTGACTCCAGTCTTGGTAGTTCTGCTTCTGGTATTTTGGATTTAACACACACGTAACCTTTGTTTGCGTGACAATTGCGGTCTATACTTTGCTCTGGCTTCTTTCGTAAAACCACTTCCGGTTCCTGGCCTGTGGTCTCACAGGATGATGACGTAGAAATACTGTCCCTGCTCGAGCTGTCCGTGTCCGATTCTAATCTGCGATAATTTTCCAATGGGTTTTGTCCCGCTGTAAAATATAAGTGATCTAAAGCTTTATTTACGGAAGGAATAACAGCGTTCCATAGTTAAACATCTTACTATTATGATTTATGTTTGTAAATACTAGACCTGTTAATAGAAGTCAATTGTTCCAAAACCCAGTTATCTAAGCATTTCAACCTGTTATATGTACACTATAGTACTGTTAAAATCACCCTGATTCACGCCTATAGATCCATTCCCATATCAGAACCTATCTGCTGATATTTGGGAATCACCACATGTACTTCATCTTCCCAATGAAGATAACGTACCCAATATCTATTCAAACGTTTCCCATTTTTCTTTCTTTTTGCTTTCCCTACCTACCCTCATCCGCTGCTTTGTATACCCCATTTCCCTTCTCTTTTCTAATCTCACATCCAGTCATCCCCAACTGCTTTGTATTAAACTGCCCGTATATGAAAGCTCTTCTCGCGCCCCCAAAATCTGATCTATACCCTCCTTAGTAGGTAATGATGTTGGTGCGTGGAGAGCTGCCATAGGCTGTTTTCACTGTAAAGTTGCAAACATTTTAATAACATACACTTACAAAACATACCCTGCTGATTTTCTAAATATTTTTGAAGTCAATGCCAAATGTTGGTTATTTACATCATATTTGTTTTTACAACAATCCTATATCAATAATGTAAACATATTCTTTCCTATGATAATCCATCTTCTTCTTCTGACATCAGGAGATATCCATTCCAACCCTGGTCCAAACTCTAGTAATATGACGGCAACCCATTCACTGAATCTTATGCATCTTAACATTAGAAGTATACGAAACAAAATAGGCTACATTGACGCATTGACCGACGATGTCGACATTCTTTGTATAACCGAAACTCATTTGGATCCTTCTATTACTAATGAAGAAATTACGCTACAGGGCTTTAGTGACAAACCGTTTAGAAAAGATAGGAATATGTTCGGAGGGGGTGTATTGTTATACTATTCTCCATCTCTCGTAGTTAAAAGAAAACTTGAGTTAGAATTTGCTAATGACGAAGTAATATGGGTACAAGTTTATTCAAATAATATTACACATATAATAGGAAATCTATACAGACCACCTAATCTAAATTATTCTGACGGTATATGGCAGAGACTAAAACATTCCCTCGACCTGGCATTCGATATTACAGATAATGTTATTTTGATGGGCGATCTAAATGTTGACTTTTTAAAATCCTCCAGAGATGAATTATTCGACCTTCTCACTTTGTACCAGATGTCAAATATTATAACCGAACCTACCAGAATAACGGACCATTCAGCAACATTATTAGATCCAGTAATTATCAGTAACACAATCAACACTTTTTTCAGTGAAGTTATTAATATAGACGACAATATAAGTGACCACAATGCTGTTTTTACAATAATTGAAGTACCGAAACAAACCCAAACAGTTTTCAAACGAAAGGTATGGCTATATGACAAAACAGACATCGAAAAGCTTAAACATTTTATCACAAATATATCATGGGTAAACCAATTTAATATGTTTAATGACGTTAATGACATGTGTGATTTTCTGACAACCACTATACTTAACGCTGTAGATATATGCATACCATCTAAATATGTGCAGATTAGACAACATGACAAACCCTGGATCAATAATATTGTCAGAAGACAAATACGTAATAGAAATCGATTAAAAAAGATACTTATAAATAATAATAATGATTTTAATAGGACGAAATTTAAACAATCAAGAAATAAAACAAATAATATGATAAAACGAGCAAAAGAACTTTTCTACGAAAATATCGACTCTATCATAGTCAAAAATAAATCTAACCCCAAAACATATTGGAAATTGTTAAGGTTTGTACTGAAAGGAAGCAAAACTACTGATATATCACCACTTTTTGATGACAATGCTAACGAATTCACGAATGATAATAACCATAAATGTGAACTTCTTAATAACTATTTTTCTTCAGTATCCAGTCATTCCGAAGTAGACCAAAACAAACCTATTCCCATTTTAGAAAAACGAACAGACTCTCTTTTGTCCGAAATTCATATTATACCTTCTGAAATAGTTGATATTATTAACATACTAGATGTAAATAAGGCAACAGGGCCTGACGGAATCAGTCATCGAATGTTAAAACTTGTAGCAAATGAAATTGCCATTCCCCTTTCCCTCATTTTTAATCACTCCTTAAACAATGGTATATATCCCGATAAATGGAAATTAGCAAACGTCATGCCGATCTTTAAGTCTGGCGACGCTCATAATGCTTCGAATTATAGACCAATATCATTATTAAGCTGTGTTGGAAAAATTTTTGAACGTGTAGTCTATAAACATATTTACAACTTTTTTAACTCTAATTATCTTATTTACAAACTTCAGTCTGGATTCTTACCCAATCATTCTTGTACGCATCAACTCATTGAAATGTACCATTCTATGATGTTAGCATTAGAAAACTATGAACATATAGCTTTTACTTTTTGTGATTTTTCAAAGGCCTTCGATCGAGTTTGGCATAGAGGGCTTTTATACAAACTTCAACAACATGGTATTTCAGGCAGTCTTCTTAATTGGATAACAAACTATCTTTTTGAGCGTAAGCAATCCGTCTTTATTCACGATTCCCATTCTTCTGTAAGAAATATAAACGCCGGTGTTCCCCAAGGTTCAGTGTTAGGCCCTTTATTCTTCTTGATTTATATTAACGACATTTCAACCGAACTCTCCTCATTATCTCGTCTTTTTGCTGACGATACGTCGCTTTCATACTCATCACCAAACCTAGAAAATATTGTAAGTGAAGTAAATAAAGACCTAAAAACTCTAGAGAAATGGTCTAAAAATTGGCTGATGTCTTTCAATCCTAAAAAAACCGAAATCATGATTGTTTCTAATACAAATCTACCCTTTCAACCCCAATTTATTTTTAACGATACTTCTATCCTTTTAACAGATAGCCACAAACACCTTGGAGTTATACTAAGTAGCGACGGTAAATGGAATAAACATGTAGACGAACTTATCAAAAAAGTGGCTAAATATATAGCAACCCTTCGTAAAATGAAATGGTTACTCAGTAGAAATAACCTTGAAAAACTATATTTAACGTACATTCGACCATTATTAGAATATGCATGTGAAGTCTGGGACAATTGTGGAATGACAAATTCATCAAAACTTGAAAATATTCAGATAGATGCTGCACGAATTGTTACAGGACTACCTATTTACACAAAAATTGAACATATATTTAATGAAATTGGCTGGGTTCCACTAAGTAATAGAAGGAAAAACAGAAAATTGTCCCTATTCTTTACAATTAAAAACGGTACAGCTCCTAATTATTTGTGTGACACCTTACCAGATAGCATTGGGGATATTTCTCGTTATAACCTAAGAAATTCCCAACATTTAAGACAACCAAACTTTAGGCTTGAAACAATGCGCAATTCTTTTTTCCCATCAACTACAAAAATGTGGAATGACCTAGATATATCTATAAGGAATTCGGCTTCTCTCAGTTCATTTAAATCAAATATAAAATCAAAAGGTAAACCACAAAATAAATGCTTTCTGGTATGGGGTTCCCGTAAATCAAATATACTTCATTGCCGTTTGAGAAATCGTGCGAGCTCCCTTAACTATGACCTATTTAGAGCAAATTTATCAAATACAGCTGAATGTGCATGCGGTAATCCATGTGAAGACTCTTATCACTTCCTTTGTGTCTGTCCCTTATACACCCAGCATCGCAATCTATTAATAAGAGAGCTTCAACCTGTTCGTGATGATTTAACTTTAGACTTGCTCCTATATGGCGATCCTAAATTCAGCATTAATGTAAATACCTCAATTGCAAAATCTGTCCAAAATTATATCAGCAAATGCAACAGGTTTGACTGAATGTGATCATCTTTCTCTCTCTATCACTCTCTTTTTTTTCTCCGACTCTACCTGTGTTACTATCATTTACTTCATTACTCTATCCGTCTTTTCTTCCTCTCTATTTTTCATCTACTCTATCTGTGTTACTATCCTTTACTTTGTTTCGCTCTCCTTCTTTTCTTCGTCTGTATTTTCCATTTCCATATAAAAACATAATTAATGTATATTGCGTAAAATACCTTGTTTATATGTTTATATTCATGTATTTGAAGAAAAGGACTTTGATAAGTTGGTAAAACTTGTGTCCAATTCTTTTGTAAATATTTATTTGCAATAAAATATGTTTAAATCAAATCAGAATAGTAACAGTTTATTGGAGTTAATCGGAACTTAGAAAAAGAATCTTGTTAAGATACTGAATCTTTCAAACCGCGCAAAGATACAAAATCACCATGTGCTGTTGAATTTCCAAATGCAGTCTATTTTAAAAGGATTGAATCCTGTTTTGTTGAGGTTTATGGGGTATAAACCTCAAAGGGCATTGAGACAATTTTTACGAACTGCGTCATATTGAATTAGTCTCAAGACCGATTGAGGTTTATCCCCCATAAACCTCAACAAAACAGGATTCTATCCTTATGCTTACGTTCAGTGCGATATCGATATTTTTTGATAATTTTTAAAATATTGGTTTTGTGCAAGTCTATCACAACTGGAGATACCGAAGCTTATGATGTCACCACTCACTGTAAAACGTCGTCCTAGCTAGATAAATAACTTAGTTGCATTGATTACAACGAAAAAACAAATTAATATGTAAATTAATTTTCTTTAATTCAATTAAAACCTTCTGACAGAATAATAAATCTATTAATAATATAACATAATATACTGATGTATTCATACGCCAACTAAAAAGTTCATTAAAAAATAACCTTCAAAATGTTTAGTAGGTATATTGAGTCCAAGTTCAGAAGAAATGTAAATATTCCGAAGTATAAGATAACACGATCTATGACAGATTTTTTTATCATTCACTGCGATGTGTTAAACTTATGTTACGTTAGAAAAAAAACCTAGCAGGCAAGGTTGCAGCCCCGAAGACGCCTGCGGGCTTCAGTTTTTTTCCATTGCTGAGCTTCATCTCAGGGCTGTACACATTTCCTTTGTAAACTACAAACCCATGCAGTAACAACTGATTCACATAGAGTTCTTCTCCTCCCCATTCCTGATAGGACTTTCCTCTCATATCTAAAACATGAATTGACTCGCTAGACCGTAGTACCTGCTTTAGGAGTTTTCTCTTTGTTGTGTTTCACCAATTTGAAATCGATGTTCAGAATTTTTTATTTAATAATTAACATCCGCAGTATATAGCTTATCATAAGTGTAATGAACAAAAGACACAAACAAGGCATATTGAGACTGAATACTTCAATTCTATTACACAAATAATACATTTGGGCTAAGGGGCTATAACAGCTGTGGTGACTGTTTGGTACTGCCTTCAGTTTGATTTGGCTATCTGGTAAGCAAATACATGTCATTCACGAAACAGTTGTTGCTGGCCGAGCCAGGTAACGTGAATGGAGCAATATTGATGAACTGAATGTAAATTAATAATTCTTGGGGGACTTACGAATTACATAATGATGTAAAATGCCCATAATTAGCTGCAGGGCGGGGTGCTCCGACCCTTTATATGGGGAGGTACGATTTATCCATGCTCGCAAACAGCTGGCAAGTGTTTACTAACTTAAAATCCTTATTGAAATTGGAAAGCAGATGCTATGAACCTAGGCATCATCTGTTATGGTCATGTGGTTGGGATGGTGGTAGAAAAAAAGAAATTCGAGGCGAAAAATTAAAAAAAATCAGATGCCTGATGACTGCAGTTGTAACCAGTTACGTGACTAAACTGACCAATACCTGATCTGATAACATCTTCTAAAAGTTGACCAGTCACATGACTAACACTAATTTATTTTCAAAAAGTTTTAAACAAAATTAATGAAAATTTAACAGTCAAAACAACTAACTTAAACGCATTTAAAGGTCAGAGGTTAAGTATGCAAAAATGCGTCGTGACGTCGAAGCGCGTGTAGGCTGTCTTTCCTCTTTTTTTTTTATCTTTTCATGGGTTATTTCCTGTCTTTCACAGGCAAGTATGGGGGAAAAGATCCGCATCTATGTGTTACCCGGCTCGGAGTTTTATTTAGCAAATACAATTAAATGAGTCTAACACCNCTGTCTTTCACGTGCAAGTATAGGGGAAAAGATTCGCATCTATGTGTTACCTGGCTCGGAGTTTTATTTAGCAAATACAATTAAATGAGTCTAACACCGAAAATAACTTGAGATGAACAAACACAAAGTTGGATATATACATTACCGAAAATCTTCATTCCGTTTCTCGTCCGAGATGGTGGAAATGTACAGCGTTTCTGAGCTGGTGATAAGCATTGGTTAGTCTCCTCTTCCTTTTCCATTTGTAAGGGGTCAAATAGGTTCGTCATACTCAGCGACGTCCGTCGGCAGTAAATCACGCGTCGGTGTTTGAAGCAAAGATCTTCATCTGACATCATCAGGACGGAAAATGAGAGATGACAATTTTTACATATATAACATGAAAAAAATAACACTTTTACAAACCAAAAACACAGTACAGAACTCAAAGATGTATGTTACCTTCCCACTTTCAGATATTTGATAGCAGTGATATGTGTGAGAGTTACCTCCCGTTTAAAAATATCAGTTGAAATTATTATATGCGTAACGGCCAATCAACACAGGAAAGGTGATTAGGACCAATAATGCCGAATTATTTAAGCACAATCGATGCATATATTTTTGTGTAACTTTAAAAAGTGTTATTTATTGATTGACCAGTCCGAAATATCATTCCTAGTAGACATGTTTCATGTTTCGTTTAGATTGGAACTCTTTCATTTAAGAGATCCATGACGCAGTCAGTAAAGTAGCATACCGCATTAACTTTAACATCGAGTTATTATTTTTGTCTGATTTTAAATTTCTCTTAATTTAAATTGTTTTTCTTTTCCCCCCACCTTTGATATGTCAGCCTTAATATCAGGGAACTTTCAACATAAAACCTAATAAAAGAGTCAGCAGGCAGACCACAGGGGCACGGTTCAATTTATATCTGAGGCCCCTCAGATGAAATGGTAAATAAGGAGACCTCATATATAAATTGATAAATTGAACCGTGCCCCCGTGGTCAGACCGAAGGTAACCGTGCTAGATTTCTGTGACTATATCGATATAGGTCTCCGGATAGACTTAATAGGACATCACTAACATATTTAACAGCGATATCGATTAATGAAGTTCTGAAACTGCTGTGAGTAATATACATGTTTATGGATGTGAACTGTTCAAGTCCTTTCCACACATAAGCTTATTTATATCGAGTTCCACCGTCTGGTCGTCCGTACCTCGCCATGTCCGGCCGTCCCCCTTGCCCGGTCGTGTGTCAGTTACATGTAGTCCTTTGAGAGATTTTAGCCCCGTCTCCTGGCATCCTAGTGTGGTTAGCTCTATCTGAAGAAACACCAATTGATCATGTGTAGATTGTTTCGCATGCCGTAAATACAATATTATACATGTATGTTAACATTTAAGATTGCCTGTGGCTTTCACTGATTCTGAGGAGGAAATTTCTTATACAATTTACGTTAAGAATGTGACATTTTCATGATTTTAATCCGGCAATATGATTTAGTTCCCAGTATGAGACACTTCTTTTTCTTTTACCAGTTCACATGACTTTAACCAGTTCACATGACTTTAACCAGTTCACATGACTTTAACCAGTTCACATATGACTTTAACCAGTTCACATGACTTTAAGAAAGTTTACATCTCTTTTCGCTGACGCTGCTGTAGATAGACTTCCAACTCTTTAACTTTAAGGGGGGAACAAATAAAATGTTACTACTGAAAGTGACATACGTATACAAAATTATGAAAAATATTTGAATACGAATGAAACTTCTTAAACAAATAATAATGTAAAATTAATTAATATGAATGTAATATGTGTTGATAGGATACTCAAAGCGGACAACCAAAAACCCATTTTCTGATAAAAAAAAAAGAAAAAAAAGGAAGAAGTCATTGCGTGAACACCGAAGATGTATTTCAACATTTAACAATGAATTGCCGACTGGGGTCTTCAGGATGTACTAGCGCACATTCGTCTCCAATTAACGAAAGCGGACAAAATCACCGATGATTTCTAACTTTTCAGAGGACGAGTACTTTGTGTAGTTTTCGGGATACATTATAGTAAAATATGATATGGGAAAAGTTATCCGCTTTGGGTACTGATCCGTCTTGAGTACTCTCACGTAACATTTCTTGAATAGCTATATATAATTAACACTTCAGTGTTGAATGAAAACTTACATTTCTCAAATGTGAATAAAAAACAACCAATACAACGTTCATGTCATACGGAAGGAAATCTTCTTTTCTTTTCCAAATTATCAAACGGTATTTGTTATTTGGGATTGACAAGGTTTAAATTTCTGTAGCCCTATTACTATTTACCGACTGGCTGTCTTTCTTGTTGTGATGATCGACAGACTCGTTGGTGAATGGTAGGTAACTGTCACGTGGTGATCGAATGTCGTCGTCTTTCCCATCAGTAATACAACAGCAACCTAGCACGTAGTGACGAACAGACATCTCAAAAAGGTGTATAGCAAGAAGGATGGATCTGTCCGGGAAAACGAAATTCGAAGAAATAAGAAACCGGAAATGGTTAAACCGAAACAAACCAAACACGTGATAGAACGTCATTATCTATGACGTCATAATTTGTCGAACAGTATTACCTCCCTTGATGAACATGACATGTAAAACACATTTTTTTTACAAGAAAACAATACAAAACTGAGTCGTGAAAACACAAAAAGCAAGAAAACTATACAAACAACCAAATAACTTACAAACATTGTCCGAAAGATTTGTTTTACAACTACTGGAAAACATTTTAGACATAGACCTAAATGAAATAGTCTGTTTTAAAGGATATCTCTTCTTTTCCTTTTCCTGAAGAATCTACATTTATATCGCTCTATCACTAGTAATCAAAATTTCCAATTTGTTCACATTAACTAATGATGCCTTGCTTTTGTTTACAAAATCCATTACGTTGGTGAAGGGGAGGACAGGGTTTAATGAACCGCCAATTTTCAAATTTCCCCCCAAAAATGTATCAAAGATTAATGTTCTATGGTACGGTAAAAGTTCGGTAGTCATTGCGTATCGTTTTCTTTGTGAAGTAAACTTTTAATTATCTCGTCAAATGAAATGCAGTCCAAATTTTTCACCCAGTAGAGGATCTGGAACCGTGGTTATGGTATGATGTCTGAGGTTTGTGATGTCAGAACAAGAGAGTTATGTCCGAGTTTTGTGGTTATGGTATAATGTCTGAGGTTTGTGATATCAGAACGAGAGAGTTATGTCAGAGTTTTGTAGTTATGGTATGATGTTTCAGGTTTGTGATGTCAGAACGAGAGAGTTATGTCAGAGTTTTGTGATTATGGTATGATGTCTGAGGTTTGTGATGTCAGAACGAGAGAGTTATGTAAGAGTTTTGTGGTTATGGTATGATGTTTGAGGTTTGTGATGTCAGAACGAGAGAGTTATGTCCGAGTTTTGTAGTTGTGGTATGATGGTAACTTGAAGTAGGGCATAGTAGCCTGGACCTTGGGAAGAGACTTGACACTTTGAAGACCTAGAAAGAGAAAAACATAACAAATATCACAACATAAGGGGCAAAGCAACACATGTCTACTTCAACAATGTCCATTTCCAAAATACATATATTTTTATAATAGTTTTATATAATTTTTATACACAGATGTATCAATTCTTTTTTTGGATTTTTTTTTGTATCATTTTTACTAGATTTCTTGTAAAATATGCATATAGAGACAGAAAAATTTTCATTTCCATACATCCGTACATATACTCCCTTACACCTGTACATATACTCCCTTACATTTCTACATACTCCCTTACAACCATACACATACTCCCTTACACCTGTACACATACTCCCTTACACCTGTACACATACTCCCTTACACCTGTTCACATACTCCCTTACACCTGTACATATACTCCCACCTGAACACATACTCCCTTACACCTGTTCACAAGTGGAATCCACTACAATGACATCAATTATTTTTTGCATGACTACACATTGACAATCAATATTAATCAAATTCCTGAATCTGAACATTAATATTTCAGGGCTCGATGATCTCAGCGTAGCTTCGTTGTATCGAGCATTTCCTAAAACTACCAAAGACGTTATTCAAATATGTGTTAAGCAGGGGTTATTTGAACAGCTGTTATATTTATGTTTGATTCCTTTGATAAAGAATATATGTAATATAGGCATTACTTATGTTTACTGTGGTTTCTGAGAAGATAATTTTTCGGCCTTCCTTTAATTCTCATGCGTATGCCATCCGCATTAGGGATGCTGTTCAGAGTTAGCACACGACCATTTCTATATCCTTCCCGTACCAACCCCAAGGCCCGAGGGCTTGGATTGGTCGAGGGTTCATACAGTGTAGGATAGGCAAATGGTCACATTATAACTTTATTTTAACATATATAACACATTGTGATTATTCTATTACAATTTCAAAATTATTAGCAATAGCAGATATCGAGTGCACATAAAATATGCTGAATCGGAGGTAAAATGGATATGGTGCGTCCATCATGGTGGATATGATGGATATGGTGCGTGGCGGCCGGATCGTTGGCTCTTGCGGTGCTATTATTGTAGTAGTAATCCACTCCGATTTCAAAGGTGGAAACAAACACATACGTCAAGTGATCATGATCTTTGGGTCATAGTCTGATTCAACTTTACTGCGTAAGCAAGGTTGAAAAAATGAACTTAATTTAATAGGAAATACAGCCACGGGGACCGAAGAGCCAGTTAAAACCCACAAAATCCGGATGAAAAATTACTTCTGATTTATTACCCTCACCACATTGTGCCAGTCGTCGTTACAGTCTATTCAACCCAAGGAAGTTCACTGTTTTAAAAAGGGCATAAATTGAAATCGAGTGTATAAGAAACCAGATATTGGAAGCGAAAAGATTGTTACCGAATTTATAGCTTAACATTAATTCAGATTTATTGATTTAACAATAAATCACATTATATTTGTATCACAGCCCTCTTCTCCGGGTTATATGTTGGGTAGTTATCAGCCAGAGCAAAGCACTAAAGATTTCCGCTGTCGTTTTTCAGTGTTAGAGTCACCTGCCCCTGATTATCATGTCGACAATGCTGTTATCTTCCCTTGAATAAATTTCGTTTGAATAACGTTTCGACTACAGAGTTGTGTCCCTTGCGCTGAAAATGAAAATCTCCAATCGCGAAAGTTTCGGTAAAAAAGCTGTCGTAACGATGTAAACAACGTCGTGGCAGTGATGGCCGACATGCAAAACCGACGTAAAATCGGCCGTTTCAAATGTAAATTAAACGCATTAACTGACAATAATAACAACAACGATGTCCAATATCAACTGCTAGACCACGACTATGCGACAAAACAAAGTGGCACTCGTTCACACATTGAAGAGACGCAGGCTAATGAGGCCCCTACTAAGCTTACTGGCAATTTTACTAATGAGCCGACACCGACGTACGATGAGGATCCCTCCAGTACTAGTGATCACGAATACGTCAATAACTTTTTAACCTGGTCGTAGGGTAGACGAGTGGTTAAACTTGCGATGTTATCGGAATACCTGGACCAGAAAGGTTGTAAAGAATGTGGTACTAAGATACGGTTGTGCAATACCCGACAGGAAAGACATTTTGGCATGGGAAGTATTTTTTACATCACAATAGTCAGGATTATATTCTATATTTGTTATTACATGTATATACCCAATAGGCCTATATTTGAAGTTCATTTTTTATATTACATACAACAGTGTTATTTTCACAATGTGATATTTTTATACCACAATATCGTATGTTGTCATTTGTACATAATGTAAAAGTTTATTATTGTCGTATAGTGTGATATTTGTTAAACCACAATATATGTTGTTATCTGTATATAATGCAAGTTTATTATTGCTATATAGTGTGATATATTTTTTTGCCACAATATGGTATGTTATTTGCCTATGATATAGAAATTTATAATTGTTGTGTAAAGTATGTGAAACTTTGTTATTGTTGTTCATTGTGACATTTTTGCTATGACACAGTAACGTGCATTGCTTGTTATAATGTTATTTATATACAATGTGCAATTTTGTTTTATATTGGTTATTTGAAGTTATTTTAATGGTTGGTAATGCCTACTGTATTATATTTGTATATAAAAATTGCTATATTGTATGTTGTATATTTTATATATGACTTTTTGGGATTTAGAATTATTATTGGGTACAAATGTAAGAGTTGTCTCTCTTCTTTGTTTAGTTTTTTTGTATCTTTATATAGTTTTTTCTATAATAAGTAAGTCCGCAAGATATTTATTTTTGTCGCCTATATTTTCTTTTAGTTGTCCTAAACATGTTGCATTGGCGTAGAAAAAAAAAGCAATGCCTCATTACATTTTTAGGCGGAGGGACGGGGAGGTTTGTTAAGTCAAATGTTTATGTTAAAAACCCACCCAGCCCACCCACCCTTTGCTGCTGTTGGTTTTGTTTATTTCTTCATGTGGTTGTGTAATAGGACGATTAATAGTGATAAAGATAGTGCCGTCGCTGGGGCTGGAACCCGCGACCCTTGGTTCTCCAGACCGATTCTCTACCGCTGAGCTAAAGGGAATATCCCTACAGCTGACGCTTGTAAGGCAACCGAATTAATCCACATCTTTTACAGTTGCTGTTACGAGCTAGGAGTTCCTCGTCACGGCTTCCTTGAATTTTGTGCTTTGGCGGATGACGCACAATCCAGCATTACTCCGGATTGTTACCTCTCTGCTGCTCTATATATACGTTTAACCAGTTGGGTTATGCATAATATTTGTGACATAACGACGACATTGGATCACCACGTGACAGTTACCTATATGTGATATTTGTGGCATAACCAGTTTGGTTATGCATTGTGCTTTGGACAGATATTGGACACTAAATTTGTGGAGTAACTAGGTTACTGAAATGTGACAATGAATGATATTTGTTCTCTTGTTGAACTTCCGGTAAATGGCACGGGGTTCATCAGGGATAATTTCATTCGGAAATTTGTAATTTCATTATTTGATATCCGGAATTAGTTTTCAACTATAAAGGGCAGAATTGACAATTATACCACTATTGAAGGGTCGGCAATTCATTCATACTATAACATAATTAAGCAATTAACCTCAACAGGAAGCCGTGACCAACAACGCCAATCCAGTAATTCTGATAAATATTTTAGTAATACATTTTTGTTGTTCATGTGATTTCTGGGATAATTGCATATGTTTCCTATACTTCAAATGGAATCTGGACTGAATCAGCTTTGGCAAGTAGGGGAGGTGGCTAGGTCACTGGTGGGAAAGATATTTAACGATATTTACAATATTGCACAAGGTCACCGGTACTTCCAATCAATGCGCCAGTGTGCATATCTAATCAACTCACTCGTCATTGTTAATTTGTAATCATTGCTACAGTATATTTCTAACCAACAAGTTGCATGTACGTAAACAACTGTGTGTGGTAGATTCAAATAATATAAGAAATTCAGTTCCTGTAAGACTCACATTACGTGAAATGAAATACAGAACATGTATTTACTTGGTCTGAACCTCTTTATTGAGAATCATTACATTTATCATAGAACAATAACTTACAATTAGTATTTTCACTAGATATTGACAAATGTCAGTAAATGTTTTATATCAAAAGGATCCGTTGCATGGATCTTTTTCGAAATTATTTACTTTGTATACAATCTGTATTACACAGCCTTGCTATAATTACCTTGGTAATATTTTGATGTCAAGATGAATGGAAAAAAGGAATAATGAATTAAAACACTGTATTAGAAAACTAATATTAGGTCAGATTAACTCAATCATCAGTTATCCACATTATATAGGTTGTGTTACATGGGAATGGCATACACACTACATGCATCATCTCTCGGTGAACTTGTGTCGAAGCGTGCGATGACTCGCTGGCCACCTGACTGTGCCATGTTTATTTCCACAAACACGGATCCCGGCCCATCGATGGTTATTGACATTGGTACTTACGTCATATTCCTAGTAGCTGTTAGCGTGCGTCTGCGCTCACATAGAATATTACCTCGGTAACATATCAGAGTTTGTGTCGCTCACATAGAATATGACCTCAGTAACATATCAGAGTTTGTTTCTGTCGCTCACATACAATATGACCTCGGTAACATATCAGAGTTTCTGTCGCCTGCAAACAACATTGCAGATATGTTTATCACGCTTTTATTCCGTTAGACTATCGAAAATCTATTTCTCCGGGTCTTCGTTCCTAGAGTTTCTGTCGCTCACATAGCATATGACCTCAGTAACATATCAGAGTTTCTGTTGCTCACATAGAATATAACCTCGGTAACATATCAGAGTTTCTGTCGCCTACAAACAACATATGTTTATCACGCTTTTATTCCGTTAGAATATCGAAAATCTATAACTCCGGGTCTTCGTTCCTTAGAACTTTGGCACATATGACCTTCGTCCATTTTTTTTCTGATTTGTTTTAAGCTGATAATGTTCCAGTATTTTATTCGAATGCTTATATTATCCATTGTTTTGTCCTTGAAACTTAAATGGGTTTGCATTACTTTTCGTAATAATACATATTTAATATATATTTCTTATATCGGCTTTGAATTCTTCTTTATCCGTTTAGAAATGCTGGTAATCCGCGAGTTCGCTGCCCATTTAGTCGCGGTCCCGGCGGTAGAGTTCCATGAGGCTTAGTGTAGAATCGACGAAGTAGAACCCCCACTGTCTCTGTGCCTTCCTGCTGGCTCTGTAATACCCGAACGCTACAGCTTCGTCCCCGTGGGCGGTCCGCTTGAACTCCATCCCTGGATGATCAACAAATTCATATTGTAGATGAAAAGGTTGTGCTTTGCATTCGTCAAAACAATTTCGCTTAAAGTCTTAGTGATATTACATTTTATGTGAAACGGCATCTTTTATGATCACTTAAATATGGTTTATTTTATTCAGATTTATATAAATATTATGGACGGGGCCTTTCTAATACTGTAATTACAATGTACTTGTTTCAAATATGTTGCTTCATTTATTCGAATAGATATGTTTAGATAATGAAATATGTTTTAGTCAAATTATTTACAACAAACATTAGTTTAAGAATTTAGATTAATATAATTGCATAATGAACGGTTTGATATAATACCCACCTCTTTGAATGTCTAGAAATCCGGGAAGCCACCTGTCCGGCTCCGTTTTGACTTTTACACTGACTTCTTCCATGTGACGTTCTGTGAAACCTGTAAAAAGAATTGTTGTTTCATAACATTTTTGATACAGCAGTTTGATAACTAGTACAATAAATCTGGGGCTCTTCTGAATGCATTATGCATGTTCTATGAACTTAATATAGGCGTCAGTTTTACCGAAACTGACAATACAAACTGGGAAGTCACGCCGATTTATGTTTCTACTGGTAAACATTTTAATTTCAGTTTCTTTTATCACATCGTTTAAGTCTTAACATAAGTATTTCATTTGTAGAGAAACGGTGCAATGTGTAAATACCTACCCATGGTGTATGTGTTCCAATCATCTCCAGTACAGTAGCCGGTGTCGTGGCTGATTTCACCGGAACTGGTTCCACCACACGCCGGATATGCTGTACTAATTTCCCCGGTTGTGGTGTCAAGCTGAATCTCCTCCACAATTGTCGACTCACCAATACTTCCGGCGCTGCTTGAGATGTCAGTCAGCGAAAGATCATTTTTGGCGCTCTCCTGGAAATATAAAAACTGCAATACAGTGACAGTTCCAATTGTACACGTGGAATCATGACGTAAAACCCATACTACAACCGTAAGAAAATGCATTCCATGTCATTAAGCATCGATTTTTAAAGTCAATGAGTATTTTAGTGACCTGCAAAATGTTCAAACCCATTTCTATTATTTATATATGAAGATGTATACATTTCAATGTAGGCATGACAAGAAAATCATGAAAACAAATATGCCGTATTTCTGCGCTGGGAAATCCTCTTTTTGGAAAATCCAATTCAGTGAAGGTGTTAAATGGGTTTTTTTTAACAAGTAAAAGAAAAAGTTTTGCTTGTAAGAAAGTAGCTCTGGTTGTGTAAGTCTGTGATGATATTTGTGGTTACATAAGTAAAACCGAATATCGTCATGGCAATAGAACTTACCGGCTGGACGTTGACCCTCATGAGGTAGGTCTCTGAACAGTGCCTCACCAATCGGTCAGCCATCTCGTTCTTGTTAATGTGTTTGGTCAGTTCTATCAATTTCCGTCTCCTATAAATATGCCGATGTACATAATAATTATCGAAAGAAGTCGCTACATTCAACTATCAATGTTGTCGGAATTGCCTGTAGACTACGAGCTTAGTGTCTCCACTCATACCCGAATAAACACGAGGCCTTATGTCCAGAATCGCTCATCTGCTCATAAGTACGTGTACTGACAATGCAAGACAGATGGAGTTGTGTCATTGAAACATTAAATTGATCTTATTGAACTTGCAAACAAAAGGATTCAGCGGTCCTAATGACATTTGATCCTAATGATATTGAAAGTGGATTTACACGTTAGCAGTGAAATTAGGTGTTTGCAAACGTAGTACCCTTTTACGTGAGCATGACACCGGTAAAATACTTAAGTCCCTCAGCATCTTCGCTCGTTACTAAATGTCGTTCGGATGTTTCACATGCAATTTTTATTTTGCTCATGTGACCGTCAACGTGATTTTATCTCGAAACAATTAACAAGCTGCAGTGTATCGGCTCTAGACATTTTTTTGCTCTGTAGAAACAAAATTGGAATGCATTTGACCCCTATTGCATTGAATGAAGGTAAAAGCGATTTCGTTTAAAAATTGTGTAGCGTTCTACCTAGTGAGTTACTGGCCAAAAGTCACGACTCAATGGTATTTCGGGTATTCAAAAGAAGTCATATGGTCGTTTGGCCGTTCTATTAAATACAGCCATGGGCAAAATTGGTTGCACTTCCTCCCAGCGAGCACATGTAATTTCTAGCTTAGGCCAAGGGTCCATTTCCTTTTAGTAAATATGGAAAAAGGTTTCTACAGGTTCAGTAAACACGAACAAGATCCATGTATAGTCATTCTTATACAAATGGTCACCTAATAAGTAGGATATCTTCAGCAGGTTTGTCTACACATCAGTGTAAATGAGTACAAGCAAAGTCAAACAACGGGTGTTTTGAAGGAAAATGGACATATATTAGAAATATTCCTTATTTTCTATATTTGTAGATGATCGAACTGATGTATGGGTTACCGATGCTTTTACCGAAAAATAAATTTAACATTTATAGAGGGTCTGTTTCCAGGCATATCATCAAAGAAACATAATTCAATAAGTATAAACTTGTAATGTGAACACTTGCATAGGCGAAGCTGGCCTGTCCTCACCGATTACATGACAACTTACACTTGGTTCTGTTTCAAAGTGTCTAGGACGTCATACAGGCAGCCTTCCAGGCCGTAGTCAAGGCGATCGACGATCTGGTTTGTGATGTTCGACACGACATCGTCACTTGCCTAGAGTAAAAGTATAGATACAAATATACATGGGGTAAAGAGCTGTTTACTACAATGCGAGTATACACCATGGTTCAACCATTGAGGTGTTTTTGCCATATCTACATCGTTCGGTTTCTATCAACTAGTTAACAAACAATCCATTCATAAAATTCCTCAATGTATCACCACAAGTGGTACAGGAACCACTTAGCGTACCGGAACATCTATGTTTTGTGGGGTAAGTAAAATGTTGTTCTCTTGTTTTGCTGTTGACTTTGTTCTTGCAATTTTTGTTTGACATTTTTTCCTTTTCAAACTGGCTATTTGGTATTGCTGAATTTACTAAAATTTCTTGATAAAGCTCGCACTCTGACAGATGCACTAGCAAGTGTTTTCGTCATGATATTTACAAAACGATAGTTTGGTTGCCTAACAACACCTACGGTTTTGATTTTCTCCCTGATGCCCTGTTCCACGCCGTTGTTGATACGACGGGCATTCCTGATCTTGTTGAAGTCTTTCTGTGCCTTGTCGCGCTTCTTCTGTAAGGCTGACAGCTCTCTTGACTTCATTGGTGTGTTGCCGTGGAGACGGTACAGGATGGCCGTCAGCTTCTTCTCGTATTTGATGTTCTTCTGCACAAAATAGACCGACGTGGATATTAAATCTTAATAAGGTTCTCGTTGTTGCAGTCAGATTCTTTCCTGTTTCAGTAATGCTCTCTACAATGTGCACATGTATATAAAGCTGGACACAGTTGCAGATAACCAAGTAATTGTATACAACTACATGGTCCAGCAACAACCAAAATAACTCCCTAAATTACATGATTCTATAATGGTTTAAGTACTGCATACGTGCTTTATAATTTGATGGTAGGGAGAGTGTATTAGTAATACCATTGGAAGAAATGACATGTGAACCATTATGCATATGCAAGACCACACACTTGTGTTTTTTTTCTAACGAATCAGAAAGCACTCATGTATATGCAATAAAGTGCCTTCTGATTAGTTAGAAAAACACAAGTGAATGGTCTTGCTTTTATCACATACCTTCCGTATTTGGTAGAGATCGATACAAAGATTTTATAAACTTTGATATTTTTTGAAAATACCGGGAACTTTTTAGTTCGCCGTGACAAGGGGATTCCCATAAAAAGTAGTTCCGGCTAGTAGGTAATTACAACATTCCGTATTGCACATGTGCAATACAGAACGTTGTATTTCTTGGTCTGAAAATTGCTCGTATTACTATAACAAGATTCAACAGGTATGTGATAAAATATGTATATTCAATTTTATGAATTTGAATCAACACAATGATGCCATACACAGCAAGGCGACAAAAAGCGTAATCGGTTAGTGTATCAAGCGGATCAATAGAGTTAACCAAGCTACAGAAAACAGGTAGAAAGGAAAATAAAACAGCACTAGTCAATTATTGTTGTCTCCTGTGAATCTACAGGGAGTCCGCATACGTCATCTGTAGTACCATCATGCAATGGGGACAGAGCAGGTCAAATATTTCCATGAACCTTCAGGCGGTATGGAATGGTTCCACATACAGCTGTGTATTGTTCCCACGTCCACCACTAATCAAGTTGTTCTAATATACAGGGGGACTATATTAACAACGGTCGTCTATATATAGCCAGACACCGTAATTGTTAAAAGTCAGGAGTAATAACATGTACAGGCCGCTACTTACCTGTCTGAATTTCTCGTCATTTGCCACAGTTTGCTTGTGTTTCTTGATCAAAAAGTTCAGAAGTGTCACCTTACGCTTCAGTTCCTTTACCGAGACTTTGTTGAACCTATAATCGGTGCAAGAGGATGATATGATGACGTTACAAAAGCCAAATGAGAAAGACACTAACACAGCGAATAGGGCTAAACAATTATTATACTGTAACTAAATCATTGCATTGAGAGTAATACAAATCGAATAAATAAATCGAATGCTAGATTCGTGGTGCTGTCGTTGACATATGGTTTACCAGCAGTGACCTAGTGGTAAAAATACCAATATAAATGTGAAATGCGTCGTCATTAAACGCACAGTCCGGTCATGTTTAAAGTTAACAGGACAGTGACTATGATAGCGATAAATTAATTTTACTATGGCCGTTTGATGGGAAGTTGAAAAACATAGAAAACAGGTATTATTGGCCTCGTTCTCCCCTTCCTTTAACAATGAGGAGGCCACCTGTTGCATTTGGTATTTCCCATTTTGTAATTGACGATTAGCATTTCGCATTTGGTTGAAACCCTTATCTTTATCAAAAGAAGGTTAGACCAGGGTTAGTTGGGCCACTTTTCATGAAACGGCCTAGGAAAATAATTCGTCGCTTTCAACTCGTGTATATAGCTCTCTCGACCATTGAAAGCCGGTGCTAGAATTGGACCTTTTAGATTATGCATTAGAATTTTGCTGCATTTCGCATTCCTTACAAACGTCTGGAGTACCCTTATGGAGTGAGTGATGACGCAATATGCCGGGTTCAGTCCTTTCTAAGTGAACGACGATAGTGTGTTGCCATCGGATCTGCTACCTCGCATGACAAAGTACTAGACTTCGGGGTTTCCTTTAAGTGTCGGTGTTAGGACCACGAACATATTGCCTATATTCCAAACCGATCGGAGAGATTTGTCGTCGCCATAGGCTTCGCTATCTTGGTATACTGATGACACACAAATTTACATGGTCTCAAACCACAGGGCAGTTGGGATACAAAATCAGAAAAATCTGGAAGCTTGTCTGACAGACATCAGTACCTTGATGAACGCCAATGTATATTATCATTCCAAATGAAGCATCGCGCATATGCCTTCTTTGGTAGATTTGATGTCGGTAAAGACTCGTTTAATATATATACCAGCCTATCGGCTGAAACATCGTCCGAGACAGTTACTCAATGTCGTACATCTATTATATACTAGTATTCACATAGTTTTGTTGATTTCCGTGACTTACGTCTCGAACTTTAGTAGGTCTTCTTTCTGAAGGCGAGTCAGTTTTGGTAACTCGTTCGTTTTGCAGGGGCATGACAGGTCATCTGCTACCAATGCCAAAGTAACCTTCTCCAGAATGTCAAACAAGCCATCAAAATCTATAGTAAATGTGAAACAAGCCATCAAAATCTAGAGTAAATGTGAAACAGAATTTTAAAATATATAGTTAATGTGAAGCAGAATTTCAAAATATATAGTAAATGTGAAGCAGAATTTCAAAATCTATAGTAAATGTGAAGCAGAATTTCAAAATCTATAGTAAATGTAAAACAAGTCATCAAAATCTATAGTAAATGTGAAACAAGTCATCCAAATCAACAGAAAATGTGAAGCAGAATTTCAAAGTATATAGTAAATGTGAAACAAGCCATCAAAATCTATAGTAAATGTGAAACAAGCCATCAAAATCTATAGTAAATATGAAACAGAATTTCAAAATATATAGTAAATGTGAAGCAGAATTTCAAAATATATAGTAAATGTGAAGCAGAATTTCAAAATCGACAGTAATGTAAAACAAGTCATCCAAATCTACAGAAAATGTGAAACAACTCGTCAATATCTACAGAAAAAGGTTAACAGACCATCAAAATCTAGAGTAAATGTGAACTGACCATCAAAAGATACAGTAGAGTGAAATAAGTCATCAATATATACAGTAAATATGTCGTCAATAAAACTAGTTCAGATTACAACAGATCTTATTGATTAAGTGATGTGCTACCGTAATGCTACAAGATACCACATGGTCACAAACAAAGTTGGTCAAAAGACACAATTTATCTGAAAACCCCCCATATAAACATTTGTGAAATTAGCACGCAAGTGTGATCACTTTTAGATAATGATGCCTATACAGATTTCGTAAGAGTGACCCTCTTACCCAAGGTCTTAGTAGCTAGCTCCGTCATGACTGTCCGACAAACAGCAACCTTAGAGGTGTTTACAAAACATCGCAATCCCTCATCTGTGTCAGCAATGGCCTCCGTCAGAGATACGAATCGATCAATGCTGCAAAATATTTCAAAAAAATCAAACGTAAAGGTTACAAGTTTCAAATGATAAGGTAACAAGATGTTTGTAAGAAGAGCGTGATCGAGGGGCCACTAGACTGCTAATCCATAACATAACCACTGTATCAAAACGAAAAGACGCTAATAAAAACTGGAGCGACACTAAAACAAAACGAAACCAGCATGAAACAACTTATAGACAGGACTGGGAGCTATGCGGTCAGGAATGGCTGTCGTCAAGTGGTGTGGTCGCCATCTAATAAAAGGCTTTAAAACATTTCTATTAATATACAAACTACAAAAATAAGCGATAGCTGCTGAACTAGAACTTAAGCAGTGCCGGTGATGTACCGGAGCTACGATCGCTATATGTGTGAGCAAGAATAGAACGACTAGCACCAGCAGTGGTTTGTCATAATGAACCGGAACTCGAGTCTCTATCAGTTCCAGTGATGTACCGGAAATAGGGTCACTATCAGTAACAGTGATGTACCGGAACTAGATTCGCTATCAGTACCAGTGATGTACCGGAACTAGAGTCTCTATCAGTACCAGTGATGTACCGGAAATAGAGTCTCTATCAGTACCAGTGATGTACCTGAACTAGAGTCGCTATCAGTACCAGTGATGTTCCGGAACTAGAGTCGCTATCAGTACCAGTGATGTACCGGAACTAGAGTTGTTATTAGTACCAGTGATGTACCGACACTAGAATAGCTATCAGTACCAGTGGTGTACCGGAAGTAGAGCTGCCATCAGTACCAGTGATGTACCGGAACTAGAGTCGTTTTCAGTTAGTTTAAACATATTTTATTGCCAAGCAAATGGATTGGGCACAAGTTATCAAACTTATATTAAGCCCTTTCCTAGCAAGTTACAAGCATACATTTACAATAGTACAACAAGATGGCAGAATTAATATACATATA